TTCTCCTTAGATCTAGCATTCATGTCAGATTTTCCCCCAGTATTCTTCCTGCTCATGAATTTGAAGATAGATTTCCATCTTTTCTACCCTAGAAATTCATTCTTCCTTATTAGAATCAGATCCAGAAGAATAATTCACCTTTGTTTTCTTCAGTTTCATAAATGAAATTATCATTAAAGCAAGTAAACAATATATTAACTCATTTGTTTTTGGCAGAGAGAAAGCAAGGGACAGAGAGAGACAGACAGACACATATACAAAGACACATAGAGATCCAGAAAATATCCAGATAATTGAAGTTCTTGTTACTGTAACTTGTCTTCATGCTAGTTTTGTTATCTGTTTCGTGAACTATAGATAATTCTTTCTTCTGCCCTGGTAGCGTGTTGTATGCTTCTACAATAATATCACTTTTGTTCTCCCTGCAATAATTCTCATTCAAATGCTCTCCATGATGCTTCCTCCTTTGGTTCTTAGTCTTCTACACGTGAATACATTTGATTAATATTCAGTGCTACTCTGACATCTCTTTTATGTACAGTGTTCCTTTTAAATTTGCTTTCTAGTCGAGTTCCATGTTTTCCATGCTCCTTCAAATTTGAGTGATAACCTAGGAAAGGTTGGATTCATTCCTTTGCATTAGGATTTCTACTTCACCTTGCTTATTATCCATACTTCAATCTTTTTTAATATACACCTGAGACTATGGGTTTTATTGATGGCCATTTTAAAAATATAATATTTTATGAATTACTGGTTCACTTATGCCTGATATTTTCTCTGGTATCTATCTTGGCAAATAGATACATCATCATCATAAAATAATAATGACAATAGCTAATATTTGTATAGCACTTAAAAGTTTGTAAATTACATTACAAAAAATAATCTCATTTTACCCTCACAAAAAACCTGGGAGGTACACGCTATTATTTTCCTCATTTTACTGATGAGGAAACTGAGGCAGACAGAGATTAAGTGACTTTCCCACAAAGTCACTAGCTGTCAATAACTAAGGTCAAGCTAGACTTGAACTTCAGTCTTCTTGACTCCAGGTCCAACACTCTATCCACTGGGATAGTTAGTTGCCTCATAATACATGTGCATAGGTTTCTAATCCATCATTCTTTTCTGCTTAAAGACAAGAAGCAAATGCATTTTTACCAGCCCTCATTAGGTATAATGTATACCTGGCAAAGAGGTCATCATTATTCCTGTAGTTTCAGCCACAGTCTAAGTGTGACCTTGACCTAGATTTCCTAGACTCCAGGAAATCAAATCAAGTTCCCAAACACCATCTATTTAACCAGTTATTTGTTTCCTAAATGTAATATCTTAATTTATATAAATATTTATAGAACACATCTATATTTAGTCTTCACAGTAAGTGAGCAAGATAAATAAATTAGAAAGGCTTTTATTATTCCTGTTTCCTAGTTATGGAAACTGAGACTCAGTGATGTTGTGGTTTTGTCCAGGTCACAGCCTAAATAGCTAAGGCCAAGAATAGTACCTAGGTTTTCTGATCTTTAGCCTAGTGTGATATCAATTGCATCAGACTACCTTTCTTAATAAAGAACTATCTGTTTTTCCTTCTGTCCTTAGATCCCCCTCCCCCCAGTTTTTAGGTCATTGTTGAGTCCCATGAACCTAATCACCTGATTTAGCAAAAATATATTAAAAATTCCAACACTCTATGACTTGTTTTCATCCTGACCTCAAAATCACAAGCTAAAAAGTACTGAGAAAAATGTAAACTAAAGTTTCTACTAGAAAAGTAGCATTTACTTTGCTTATTGGATAGAGCAGGAAGCCATTATTCCTCTAGGTCAAGTCAAGCCAAATTAAATCAACAAGCACTTACAATATTAAGTACATATGACGTGACAGCCACTGAATTAAACACTCAGGATACCAAGAAAGACAAAAAGATAGTCCCTGCTCTCAAGGAGTATACATTCTAATGAGAGAAAAAGCATGTAAACAAGTAGGTAGATACAAGATATTGAGTTGATAGAAGTCACTCTGAGAGGGGAGGGCTCTTCTGCAGAAATGGGAACATGAATTGAATCTTGAAGGGAGTCAAGGAATCTAAGAGGCAGAAGTGATGGGGCAGGCCATTCCAGGCACAAGATATAGCTTGTATTGCTGGAACAGAATGTGTGGAGGATAGTTGTGTTGTTTTTCTTTCATTTTGAAGAGGACCAGTTACATCACAGAATGATGTCTTGATTTGCACAAGAAATAGATTTAAGTGAGTTGTCACCCTAACAAAAGTTAAGGTGATTATGATGATAATGATCCAGTGGATTGGGTTGCAGTGGATGATCTTGGCATCTTCAATGTATGACCAAGCTCTAAGTGCTCCACCAGTGCCTGCTTCAGCTCCCTTCATGACCATTAAACAATTTTTCTCATCAGCCCATTTTTCCAAGGGAAAATCTTCATATGCTTGGTGGTAGACATCCCTCTAACTCACCAATGGGGTAGAGGCCTGTTGGTTACCCTCAACCTGGTTTAGCCCATCTGGTGAGACAGTTTTACCTGGGCATGACCACTCTACATGCTATAGCTTCTTGGAGACGCTGATAAGAGTTGGGTGAAGGCGGACACCAAAGATGGATGAGAAACCTTGAAATGGGCTCAGCAAACCCTCACACCAGAGATGCTAGTCTTCCTTGAACACCCCATACACTCCTGTGGAGGAAAGTTGTAAGAAGACTAGAAAGATAGGAAGAGGCCAGGTTGAAAACAACTTTAAACGCTGAACAGAGAAGTTTATGTTTCGTCTTGGAGGTAGAAGACAACTGTTGTTTAGTTCTTTAGCACAGGGTCATATGATGAGACATAAACTTCAGAAAAATCACCTCAGCTACTTAGAGGAGAATGTATTCAATTGGGAAGAGATTTGAAGTAAAGAGACCAGTTGATGACAAAGCATCAAAGGAAATTGAGAAAGAACAGTTTGGACAGATAGGAAAAGATCCAGAAGTGCAGCATCACAAAAACTTGGTGAGAAGAGCATATACAGAAGGAGAAGGTAATCAACAATACCAAATGCTAAGTAGCTTGGTGGCCCAGTGGATAGACTTCTAGACCTGGAGTGAGGAAGAGCTGAGTTCAAGTCCTGTCACTGTCTGACTCTGGGCAAACCACTCAACTTCTATCTGTCCCTGTTTTCTCATCTATAAAAGGGGTATGATAGCAGCACCTACATCCCAGGTTTTTTGCTTGTTTGTTTGTTTTTGAGAATAAAATGAAATGGTATTTGTAAAGTGCTTTGTAAAACTTAAATTGCTATACAAATAGTCACTTGCTAAATGCTACATAGAGGTCAAGAAGGAACAGGATCCAGAAGAGGTGATTGAATTTTTTAAATTTAAAAATCATTGGTAACTTTGGAGTTTCAGTTGAATGATAGAATCAGAAGCCAGATTACATAGGATTTAGAAGAGAGTAAGAGGAAAAGAAGTAGAGATATCTAGTGTCGATATCTTTTTCAAGAAGTTTAGTCACTGTGGGGAGGAGACATAGGATGATAACTAACAGTGTTGATACATCAAGTGAGGATTTTTTAAGGTTGGGGGAGATATGAGTATGTAGGAAACTGAGAAAGAGCTGGTATATAGGGAGAGATTGAAGACAAGAGAGAAGGAGAGAGAAAAGTGGGCTGTGGGAAGTACTATGTAGAGAGAAGGGGTTGGTTTTGGCAAGAAGGTCTGCCTTTTCATCTGAGATCAGAGTGAAATACGAGATAGGGAGAAGATGTCTTAGTTTTATAAAATGAGAAGGAGGAACTCTCCACAGTCTCAATTTTTTTCCCATGAAGTTCTAGGCAAAGTCATCAGTAGAAGGAGTTCAGGGTAGAGTGCTATGACAGGCTTAAGGAAAGAGGAGAAAATTTGAAGCAGCTGCTGTGGGAAGTAGGCTAGGCAAGCAATCTGTTTTAGATAAATGTTTTTAAAATAATTTAAATTATCTAAATTTAAATTATTTAAATAATAATAAATACATTAAATTTATTTTAGTAATGGAAATATGATACAATATGTATGAAAGAAGAAGTATGCATGAGTGATGAATTATGAAGAAAGGAGAACCAAGAGAACAGCATATACAATGTTGTTGTATACAACATATACAATGACTACAGTAATGTAAACAATAGCAAGAAATCAGCTGATGTCTACTAATTGTGAATAGTTCTGGCCCATAAGAACTGATAATGAAACATACCTCCTTCTTATCAGTAGAGAGGTGGAAAACTGTGGATATGGTATCAGGTGGTTTTGATAATGATCATAGTAAGAGGTTGGATTTATATAGAGTATCTTTCTAGCTTAGGCTAATTTTCTTTTCAACTATCCTTTTTCAATTTCTATCCTTCCCCCAGAAGGAATGTTTCCTGTTTAAATGTTTCCCTTTGTTACAAGAGGTGTTTATTGTATGGGGAGGTGAAGATGAGGAGAAATTGTTGTTGTTCAGTTATTTTCAATCTTGTGTGACTCTTCATGATGCCATTTGGGGTTTTCTTAGCAAAGATATTTGCCATTTCCTTCTCCAGCTCAAACAGATGAGGAAACTGAGGCAAACTGAGTTAAATGACTTGCCCAGGGTCACTCAGCTAGTAAATGTCTGAGATCAGATTTGAACTTGAGGAATATCAGTCTTCCTAATTCCAGGCTTAGCACTCTAATCACTGAACCACCTACCCACCCCTAGGAGAAATTGCTGTGGTATAAAAAACAAAAGGCATCAACAAACCTTTTACAATTTATTTTCATCAATTGCTAAAAGGAACTAATTAATACTGATGTTAATGATCATGATGACACAGGGCATCCCAAAAATCTTGGTGCAGTTTTAAGTTTTGATACCTTAAAACTGCACTAGGTCTTTTGGGACACACTGCATATACAAGGCATTGACTTCTTATCTTCCTCATGAAGATAGTGGGGACCTGAACCACTTTACAATAAGTCTTTATTCTTCTCCTTTAGGTTCTGTTTATGAAATGTTTGGAAATGAATGCTCTCTATCAACCGGAGAAGTGATTAAAGTAAACAGTTTCAAAATAAAGAAGGTCATGGCTAACACTTGCAAGGAAAACGAAGATGGTCAATGTTCTCCTAAATTTGAATTGCCTCTAAATTTTCCAGGTACTGTATCTTGTGATCACATTATCTATTACCTCTCCTCATTGGAGAAACTGTAGGGTTGTTGTTTTTTGTTGTTATTTTTTAATGCATTCACACAGCTAACAGGAATGAAGCAATTGTTCCCACTCTAGGGAAAATGATCTGTCACCCTCACTCATAGCTCTGCTTTATATATGCTTGAGAAATCTTTATTTTAAGATGTCATATTAACTTGGCTTATTTTGATTTGGAATCCATACAATTCAAGCAATTTAAAAGAACAATAGAAAATCTTGAGCTTTAAATTTTCTCTTTCTTCCTCTTAAACTTCCCTTACTCAAAAGTCTGAGTGACTGATCTTTTGTAAGGAACATTTTTTCCCCCTTAACTTCAGGCCCACATCTATGTTGTCAGACATTTTTCGAATGAAAGCTATTTTATTTGATAATGGTAATAGTAAGAGGTTGGATTTATATTGTGTCTTTCTAGCATGAGCCAATTTCCTTTTTATCTAGCAATGTTTTCAAACAGATGTACTGATTTCTATCCTTCCACTGTTTCCTGTTAAAGCAGTTATGATAGCTAACGTATGCCAACATTTTCACAAGGCCTATTGTTGTTCAGGAAATCCCTTTGAACTTTTCTGTTGGCTTTATATTATTGCATGATTTGAGTTGATGCTTGGAGAAGTCATTGAAGATATATTTGCAGTTAAGGATAGTCAGACTTAAAGGGAGAAAAGTGGCTGTATGGATATAAGATCAGAGAATACCTTCCTACCAAGAAGGCTACTTGGTAGTACAACATACAACTGTTCACACTCTCTTTCTAGAAGGTTGTCTCTCTGTGAATTTAAGCATGTAGACTGGATTCAATAAGGGGGGGAGCCTGGCCCCTAAAGAGAATGGTGAGGTTCTTTTTCTAAAACTTTCTGGATCATTACATCCACACTCCCGGGCTCTGAGGAGAATCACTTAAAGCCTAGATCTGACTCATTTCTGGGATAGTCCCTTAAGGGAAATAGATACTATTCATTAAATCTGCAGGTAAAACAAAGCTTGGGGAGGAGAAGGGGTGAATAATGAACACCCTGGATAACAGAGTCAGGATCAACAACATTGACTGTCTGAAGCATTAGGCTGAATCTCATAAGACGAAATTTGGTAGGGATAAATGTAAAGGCTTACAAGGTCTTTAACTTTGTAAAAAGTACAACATGGGCGATGCATGGTTAGATAGCAATTCGTCTGAAAAAAAGATCTTGTGATTTGGGTGAACTATAAACTCAAGGTATCGTAGCAACAAAAAGAGCTTATTTAATCCTGGGATGCTCTAAGAGAAGCAAAAGTTCCAGGAATGTAAGGATCTGGATGATCTGCTCTGATGAATCCATATTTGTAGTGTTATTGTCAGTTTTGCTTGCTACAGTGTAGGAAAGGCATGGAGAAAATCCTCCTCCAGGACAGAAACTATGCCATTTTTTCTTCTTCTTCACAATGATAAATTGTATTATGGATTTAATTAACTGATTCAAAGTGTGCTGGACTTGAAGTCAGGAAGACCTGGGTTCAAATTCTGACTCTGACCCTTACTTATATGCTAAGAGTATGCTGGTAAATGTTTCAAAACTAGTTCATCAGGGAAAAAAAATACCCACAATATACATCTAAATATAATCTGTGTTATTGACATTTTCCCTATCACCTTCTTAAGTGTAAACAATTAACAAACAAAATAACTTAAGCCCTGATTTGTAGTATTTGACCATTTCTGAGGTGTAAATGTACACCCTGAAAAATTGCTGCTGTGTCTAAGTAACCATATCATTTAACTTAACTAAGTCTTAGTTTCCTTATCTGTAAAATCAGGATAGTAATACCTATAGCATGTTGGTGATTGTTGTCTGCTCTCAAAGAGGACCAAAATGACATCACTACAGTGGAGTCAAGTTACTTAAATTAAGTCTAATTAGACTGTGGCTAATTAGACCAATACAATCTCAGATGGCTGTACCACGAGTCGGAAATAAAATAGTCCATATGAACACTCGGGGTGGAGCTGTCTCAATTTGCACATCTCACATTTCTTTTGTATTTTAAATTTCTGTAGTATGTACTCACAGATGTATAATGGGGCCCAAATGAGAGAATGTATGTAAAGTACCCTACAAACCTTAAAGCACTAAATAAATGTTGCCATTTCTTATATGTAATGGAAAGCCTGATCAGGGGTATTTATTGCTGTTTGTCAACATCAACATTCTCATGATACAGTGGAAAAGAATACTGTATTTGGAATCAAATGACATGGTTTCAAATCTTACCTCAGAGAGTTAATCACTGTGACCTTGGGCAAGTCACTTTACCTTAGAGGGCCTCAGAGTGTTAGACCAAATGACTAAGTCCTCTCCCTTTTAAAATCTATGATCTTATGATCATCTAGAAACATCTGTACTAGGGGATTTCAAAATGTAACAGACTTTGGCATAGTGGAAAAATCCATATAAAATAATAATGCTCTATAATATTATCATAAAATAGGGATTGCATATGACACATGGAAAATAATGTATATGGAAATTTTACTTCTTATATGAATTATATGCCTATCAGATAAATGAATTTTCCATACAGTTCCAAAAGGTTTCAGTCATTTTGATTGAAGAGAGATATTTTCCCTTTAATAGAGTTGTTATCTTAAGACAATCATTGAATTGACTGAAGGAAAAAAAAATCAACTAAACAAATGACTCTTTGTTTCCATTCATACAATAACAGTGAACTTTTAATATAAAAAATATTTTTAAAAAACATTTTCCTGTTGATTTATTTAGGTGAAGTAAATGTTTTGTTTTAATATTATACAAACTATATTTATGCTATTACAGTTAAAAAATGATGAACAACACACTGTATGTTATTTCCAAACATTATTCATTATATTATTATCTACCTCTTAGGTGTCTATAGCCTTTACAATTAGATCTTCAGACTTAAAAAAAAAATCTAACTTAATTTTTTTTTGCCTGACCCTTCTTGATGCTTGAATCTCAATTGCATGTAGAAAACAATACTGAATTTATTTTAAAAAGAAACTTGCAAATATCTTCATTTCCTTAAAAATAAAACCTCTGTATTTTGGGGACATATAAAAACATATATTAATATAAATTACATCCCAAAATATAAGTATTTGAGGATATATATATGTACATATATATGTGTATATATATGTATGTGTGTGTATATATATATATATATGTTTTTTTCCCACAGAGTTTGATGGTTAACAGTGACCATCTAGGAATCTCCCCTATAACATAAAATATTTGTTTATTTATGCACATACATGCACATGCCCAAATACATACACATATTATATATACATGTGTGTATATATACAGAGAGACAGAGAGAGAGAGAGACACACACACACACATACACACACACGAACACAGAGGAGAGAGAAGTGAGGGATGGGATTAATCAATAGAAACAAATCGGCTAATTTAAAATATTTTATTTTTTCATTCAGTCAATTATTTATTAATTTATTTTTGCATTCTAATCTGGACCTTTGATTTCATCAGGGTAGGGATCTTTGATTTTATTAGGTTATGAAAACTCCCCAAACAGATGCAGATTGGCAAGTGTCTCATTTATCATCTTAGAAAGTTGCCTGGGACTCAGAGGTTACTGTGACTTGCCCATGGTCTCAGAACTACTATGTGTCAAAGACAGGACTTGAGCGTAGGGGTTTCTTGACTTCAAGGCTGGTAGGGATATAGTCAGTTCTCCAAATGCAAAGCACTGTCCTATGGTTTGGACTCCCCTGGAAAGGAAACCCTCTTGTGAATACCAGAGAGGTATCCTTTTTCCCACATTTGAAAAACAGCAATAAAGTATGGAATTCAGGATATCTGTTCATCTTTAGGTCCTTGCAGCAGCTCCTCCCAATATATGAAGCCTCACACATGATGCCTTTTTTCTCTTGGAGAGGACTGTTGCCCACCAAAATTTTCCTTTCTCAAATGGATCCCAGAAGTTTTAAATTTGGAGTTAATTATGAGGCAACCCCTGAAGCTGATACCGTCCAAGGAATCTCCCTTTTTTGGCTCCTATGCTATATTCTAGGATTGACTGCCCTGGAAACCCCCTTTTTCTGCTTAGGGAGCTCAGTTCAGGTCCTCTCAAACTTAGAGCAGATAGAGAGGCAGCCCTTAGAAACTCTCACCACTTGGCCATATGGTTCCTTTGTTCACAGTCACCATATCACTAACAGATTATCCCATGGCCTCCTCAAGACTGAGGACAGAGTCTAAACATTATTGAGGAACTAACTCTCTGCTTGGTGTGCATGGCCCAGCATTAGCCCCCCTCAACTCCTCAATAAGCTTTTGGGCCAAATCAGCCACTAGGCAACCCTTGGCTAGGTTTACTCATCTCTGCTGTGCTCCTAGCATCAGCCTGGAAGAAAGGAAGATGGGCAAACAGTCCCTCAGAGATCTGTTCATTCCTCTTTATATGTCAATACAAAGGATTGGCTCTTCCTATGATATTTCATTCTATACAGTAAAGGGAAGTAGAGGAAAATAATTAATTTGGTGGCAGCCTACATGGGTGCAACTCTTCCTCCAGGATGGCCAAGAGGCATGCTGAGGGCATCTATACACATGTTTTTAATACACACACATACACACATGCATATATACATATATCTATGTCTGTCTATCTCTATCTATCTATCTATCTATCTATCTATCTATCTATCTATCATCTATCTATCTATCTATCTGTGATATGTAATCAAAAGTCCCAAAGGCATTCTCTTCATCAATCCCCAGTCCCCAAAAATGATTCCGTCAGGAGTGGCAGGGGGTTTGGTTTTCTTCTTTTGGCAATAGAGGCCTTCCCTGTCCCCCCCAAACTGAAATCAAACTAAAGAAATGACATGCATTTGTGTGCTACTTTCAGAGCCTGTCACCAGTACCCCCATTGCTCTAGCTTTTTTGTTATGCCTTT